ATGCTGGGATTTCACAGTACTGGGGCATGCTCAGTGTTATTAAGTAATTCCCTTTCAAAGCTTCATTGAACTTGCAGGTGTGTCAGAGCAGGTTTGTGTGCACACATTAATCGGACAGCCTAGACAGAACCAAAACATGTGGAACTGGATGCATGTAGGGCTTTCTCCGTGCAGGGAGAGTTAGATGAATGTAGGCTCTATGGAGACTTTCAGATCAATGTGTGGATGTTAGGAGTAGGGCTTAGAATGTGTGACTCTGTTCCACTAACCACCCCAGTGCATTCATTGATGGTCTGAAAGGAGCTACAGTTATCTGAACAGCTAGTTTCAAGTGTGGGCTTTAGATTCTTTCTCCTTGGGAGCAGAATACGCTGCACCCACTCCACCCCACTTGGCTATTGCGCCTTGCCATATCACAAACAGCTTTTGAAACATCCTCAGTTTCCTCAAGCATTTGCCCAGTGGTGAAGTGAGTCCAAAATCCAAGAAACACAAGTTGCATGGAGCCAGCTGTTTGGTTCTTTGGATCCTGGCCATGGGGCAAGGGGAAAGCAAGAGGGGAGGTTGTGCAAACCCAAGCACCTTCAAGCAAACATCTGCTACACTTGAGCCTGATGCTCCCTACCACTCCTGGTTGGCATCACAAGACAAACTAGGCACATTGACAAAGGCACATGCCAACAGTTTAGGAAGGTGCCATGGAACTCTCTGCTCCTAGAACTTTTCAATCTCCTGTTACATTTCCAGAGAGTCAGGAAATTAATTGCTTTTCAAATGCATAAACAGTTTCCTTCCAACTGCTTCTGTCTGTGTATCTTTGTCTCTCACGATGCTTAAGCTGGCGAGCAAAAATAATATTTGCTTTAAACACAAATCATCTCTTTATAAATACAGAGCAGGCAATACTCCCCCCCCCCGAAATGGGAAGCCAGATGGCTCTTCTACCCCTGAAGGGGTTTCACTCCACAGTGTTATGTTTTGCGAGTGAAACATGACACATTTGGACTCCAGCCACTCTAGGTACATGCCTCTCCTTATTTTTATATCCATTTGTTTAGCTTAATGTCTATATTTAAGCAGTGGCAGCACAAACAGCCTCAGCATCATTCGTACCATTTAAGCACAATGCAGTAAATGCCACCATCAGTCCAACTGTACCATTTCATGAAGCCCACCTCTGGGGAGGCGAGCTGGCTTCTTCGGCAACAAATCTTTCTTCGTTATTTCACTTTATTTGGAAGCAAGGAAGAGAGCTTGAAAGAATTCTGCAGCAAAAATGTTAAGATCAGAACCTCATCAGGCATCAAAACTTTAGGGGGTGGCTTGGTAGTATACCTCAGGGAGAAGAGTTTGGGTTTAATCCCAATAATGGAAGGTCTCAACATGCACAATGTCCCAGGTTCAATCCCTGCCATCTTCAAGTAGGGCTAGGGAAAAGCTCTTATCTGAAAATCTGGAATGCTGTTGCCAGACAGTGTTTACTAGGCTAGGTGGACCAGTGGAGTTAGGATAAGTCACTCAATGTTTCTTCTGTAAAATCACACTGGATGAAATGTCTACTGGACTAGGAAACCTTGCAGAACAACTGACGTTGACCCAGTAAAAGGTAAAGGCTAAATGGCTCTTGTAAAATCCATATCCCAATGAAATAAATGATAGGATTATCATTTCATTTAAACTGTTGAGAACTGAATCTGCCATTTCTCATGCATATTTATTTTGTATTCCTTGGAACCACCTCAGCAACATTACCTTGATCAAGTTCACTCTCTTAACAATATTTGTTAAGTTTCCCATTTTATGCATTATGCATTGTACCAGGCCTGGGGGTGCCAGGACTTTCCAAGTGTTTCTGGACTCCCATCAGCTCCATACAGCATGGGTGATGGCCAGGGATGGTGGCAGTGGCAGTCCAACAAGATATGAAGGGCCACAGGTTCCCCAGGCCTGCCTTAGAGAAAGTCATCACTCTGAGTGGCAGTCACTTTCCAAGGTCTTAGGCAGAGGACTCTCCCAGCCCTGATACCAGAGAACTCAAACTGAAGATACCCACAGATGGAACATCAGACCTTCTGCATACAATGCTCTACTACTGGAATACAGTGCATTACTGTTTCAGATACCTTTCAGCATGAGGCACTCTCCGAATCAAAGTAAACATAGTGAGAGGCCCTTTGAACTACCCTCATGCGCAAGTGGAAGGATTCACTGGAACATTTGCAGGGTGATTCACCCATTTTGCCATATGGTCAACAGGCTACCTGGAAACAGCCAGCAACGCACTCAAACACCAAAGAACCATACTAGGCTTACTCCACACCAGGTGTTTTAATATCATTAGTGCCTCCATTATACCTGCAACTGTGATTACTGCATGAAGAAAGCAACCATAAACACCTGGAAATCGTAGAACTGTGTGTCCTGCTGCATGGCTCTGTGGACATACTTGCATAACTGCAGGAACCCCTGCGATGGCCAAATTGACAGGTGTGATTGGAAAGAAGTATATGGCAAACCATATCCAATTCATAAAATTGCAAAAACCTGTACCTTCTCAAGTAAAATAACCCTGACTATAAACTTAACTAGGGCTAACAAGGTTAAGCTTGTAATGTACTAAGATCCTTGTATCATTTTCACACATATGGTTGTCAAGCCAGCTGTCCCCCATCCTGATTATTCCTGCCTAAGTGCAGAATCTTACAACTGTCCCTACTGAAATTCATTGTGTTATCCTTTGCCCAGTTCTCCAGTCTGTTAAGATCATAATGAGTTGCTCTCTTTCAGAGTAGCCTACCGTGCAAGATTGTTGTGAGGACCAAATGGAGTACCACCCCCTCCCAATCCATAAAGCCTTGAGTTGCAAATGTTGATAATAATAAAAAAAGAAAATGTGTGTATTCTGTTTAGACAATTAGTGGGACATCAGTAGAAGAAGGTGCCTCCTTTGCAGACCTACAGAACAGCAATGCAAAGAACAAGGGGTAGGCTGGGGGGCACAGGCTCTGTCTTCCCCACCTGATTTCCATATTTTGTTTTTCTTTCTGCATTAAAGAAGAAAGCCCAGTGCTTGCTTTGAATCCTTAATGTGACTGAATCCTTCTTGCTACTTGCTTTGTTTTGTCATGCACTACATACAATTACACATCCCTAATCCTCAAATCCTCCCCTGACACCAGAACATGTGCCAAACCTGAGTTGTCTGCTGCTGTTATATTAAAAGTCTTCAGAGAATAGCATACATCATGCAACATTGCACCTTCTTGCTCATTAAAAATGTCTACACACACACTATTACTAGTATTTGGTGCCCTTTTGAGCATTTGTCGTAGTGGGGTGACGTCGCCATATTAGATGACAATTCAGTGGGGAGGGATAGGGGAGAAATTTGACCCAGTTGACATTTAATGCTGAATCTATCGGATTCACATTTCCCTAAACAAATTTTGAAAGACACAGCTGTCTTCAAAAATTTGCTCTTATACAGATTTTGGGATGAAGTTCTCCAGCCAAACAATATTTACAAACATGCATTTATATGAGGGGATAGTGTGCATAAAAAAATGAATATATTAGTGAAAATAACATATAAAATACATCATATCGGGGGAAATTGCTTGCAAAATGTGTGCAATGATCAAAATGGCATACAAAAATGTGCGTATAAAGAGACATGTGTGCTAAAATGCTGATTAATGTTCTGGGTGATTTATTTTTATTTTATTTCCAAATAAATTTTTATTTTATTTCCAGATTTCCAAATATACCCCCATGTTTGCAGGAGGGAGATATTTACCACAAATTTCACAGGCAGCCACATGTTATATACCGTATTTTTCGCTCTATAAGACACACTTTTCCCCTCCTAAAAAGTAAGGGGAAATGTGTGTGCGTCTTATGGAGTGAATGCAGGCAGGAGGCTCTGCTCAGCGCTCCCTTTAAAGAGCCATGTGGAGCGTGTGTGCGGCTCTTCAGGGCTTTTCCCCAAGGAGGGAGAAGGGCTGCCCGCGCACTCTTTAAAAGGAGCGCGGCTCTTGGGGGAGGCTTAGCCGCGCACAGGCTCTCCCAGGCAGGGGGATGAAGGCTCCCCTTGCCCAGGAGAGGCTGCGCGCGACTATCCCATAAGCCAGGACAGCTAGCGGGATCACTGCACTGCGATCCCGCTGGCTGTCCTGGCTTCTGGGATTCAGAATACTTTTTTTCTTGTTTTCCTCTTCCAAAAACTAGGTGCGTCTTATGGCCTGGTGCGTCTTATGGAGCGAAAAATATGGTATCCTGCAAGTCTGAAAGCTGCCTTGTGGGAAATGCTATACAGTATCCTATCAGATACACTAGTCATCTCCTGCACTGATGAGAGGGAGGGAGACACATACACAGAAAAAGAAATTACAAGGCTTTGCAACAAAGCAAATGCAGCGATTGAAAGAGGAAGAGGTTGGACAGACCGCAAAGGCAACAACAAAACAGACACTACTACTTTGAAGGGCCAGGCTTTTTAAACAAGATCATCTCTGCAAATCACAATTCCTCAGCAGCAGCAACTACAAAATCTCAAACCAATCTAAGGTGAAACAGAGAGTGCTCAGAGGACATGGAAGGTTCTCTAGTACGTGTCGACATTTTTAAAGGATAGGAATGGGATCAAGCCCAGTAACTCAGGGCAGAGCAGTCCAAGAAAAAAGTCAATTCAAGGAGAGCACCCAAAACAAAAGGTGTCTTTGAGGGTGAATAGGGACAAGCAGGAAGCAGAAGAGGAAAGGTTAAAGAGGGAGGTGTGCCTGATTTGGGGTGGGATGGAGTAGGCTTGTGAGAGCAGCAAGTGATGGCAGCAATGGAGGTGTGCAGAGGAAACCAAGGATGGCCAGGCCCAAACATGTCACTGGGATATAGGAAGCTGGCAGATACTGCGACAGACTACTGGTCCACCTAGCTCAGTACTGTCTACACTGGCTTGCAGCAGATCTCCAGTGTTTCATGCAGGTTTTCCTCCCAGTGCTACCTGAAGATGTCAGGAACTGAACCTGAGACCTTCTTCATGCAAAGCAGATGCTCTACCACTGAGCTAAAGGTCTTCCCCCAGTGGTTTTTCACTGCTGAGAAACCTACTGTAGATATGGGCACTGTAATTGGGAAGGGACCTGGCAGGTACCCATGAGACTCCACTTGCAGAGGACATCAGAAGGCAAATAGCCCAGATACTAAGAGGGCAGAAGAATTGGGAACCTTAGACAAAAGCAAAGACCTCTCTGGGTTAAGTAACACTACATTGACTGTTATACTGAGCAATGAACAGTATAGACTGTTTCCAGTGGTGACCCGGTGATCTTCTGTGAGATAACAAGGAAGTTTATGATGCAGAGTTATCCCTTGCAAGCCTCAAAGGCACAAGCCTTAAGATTTTCCTTAAAGTTATAAACAAGAGGTAATAGGATGCTAATGGTATATATATATATCTGAAGCATACATATAAATATAACAAACATACACTATAGAAACCTAACAGTCTTGATTGTTAAAATTTTAACAGCAGTGGTTGCCTCTTACTTTGTTTCATTTCTTTTGTTTCACACATACACACAAACAGTATGACTCATTGAACTGGTATCTTAGCAGACAGATCATGCAAATGCTCCGTACTTATTGATATTCACATCATATTGTTGGTTCATAAAGTAAGTCTATGCTATCCAAAGTTGCTCAAATGATAGGGTTGTTGTTGTTCTTTTGCCTACTTTCATGCAAACCACAGATGGGGAACCTGTGTAATATACCCCAGCGTCAATTCCTAGCATCTCCAGATAGGGCAGGGAATGTTCCATGTCTGAAACCCTGGAGTTTTGCTGCCAGTCATTGGATAGACAATACAGAGCTAGATGTACCAACAGTTTAATGTGAAAAAAGGCATCTTCCTGTATGTACAGTGGTACCCCAGGTTACAGACGCTTCAGGTTACAGACTCCGCTAACCCAGAAATATTACTTCGGGTTAAGAACTTTGCTTCAGGATGAGAACAGAAATCATGCAGTAGTGGCGCAGTGGCAGCAGGAGGCCCCATTAGCTAAGGTGGTGCTTCAGGTTAAGAACAGTTTCAGGTTAAAAGCCAACCTCCAGAACGAATTAAGTTCTTAACCCGAGGTACCACTGTAACTAGATAGCCTCCATTTAGTAGCTTATCACTATTTCTGTTGCTTTTAGACAGCTTCCTAGAAGCTGCCTTCTTTTAAGTTCCTTTCAGATACTTAAAAAATTGATTATAATTTTTTTTACTTTTAGTTTACTTTTTAAAAAATTGAATACTTCAAGGTGAATTTGTCTAAAACTTCTTTTTTTTTATCAGTGACTATAAATCATATTACCTAAATGGAGCATCTAGGTTCAAAGCCCAGATAGAGTACATAAGAAAAGCCTGCTGGATCAGACCAAAGTCCAATCGAGTCCAGCATTCCCTTCTCACAGCGAACAACCATATGCCTTTGGGAAGCACAAAATCAGATCTGTGTCTACACTGAGGATTCCCAACATCTGACTCCAACAGTGGAGGGATAACATAGCCATTTTGGCTAGTAGCCACTGATATTTTGGCTAGTAGCCAAAGGCCAGGCTACAGAAGAAAGCTTTTGCCTGGCACCTAAAGGTATACAATGAAGGTGCCAGGTGAGCCTCGCTGAGGAGAGCATTCCACAAACAAGGAGCTATCACAGAAAAGGCCCATTCTTTGTTTGCCACCTTCTAGATTTCTTGTGGAGGAGGCAAAGGAAGAAGAGCCTCAGATGATTATTGCAAGGTCTGGGTTGGTTCATATGGGGAGAAGCAGTCATTGAGAAGCAGCCTTATCCTTGTCTAATCTCCTTTCAAGGCCACTGAAGTTGGTGGTCATCACTTCATCTTGTGGGAGCAAATTTCATTGTATAACTGAATATTAATCATAGAACAGCATCCCCAGAGCATGAAAATGATGAGTACCAAATGAAAAGCAAAAGGCAATGGTGGGATACAGCAGGTTCATAGACAACTCCCTTTGTGACTTTCCAGAAGTGCACACCCGGCTGCTGTTGTAAACAGAATATTGGATGAGATGGCCATTGGTCTGAGCTAGGAAGTCAATTCTTTTGCTAGTAGTAAATTCAGAGCAATGCTTGGTATAGAGAAGGAACCAGTGGTGCTAGCAGCTGCCTCTTGTTCCCCGCAAAGTAGGGCAAAGCTTTAAAATCTGACTGGATTTCCCTCATGGTCAACCAAGCTTGAAAACTGGCATATTCATCCTTGGTGTTGTCAACAGCAGAGCCAAACACTAAATGGAATACAAGTCAGGAGTCCTTGGAGACAAGAAAGCATACAAATTGCCACTTCGCCTACTGAATCATCTCTTTCTAGTGGCCAAAGGAGTGCCCTACAGAATGTTCTGCTCTTGAGAGATTTTCAGAAGTCATCAAGTGCCATGACTCAAAAGGGGAAAATCAACTGGTGATGTGTCAGATCCAAGTTAGGCCACATTCATCTTATATATTAAAGGCACTATGGTGCCACTTTAAATAGGCGTAAAGGTAAAGGGACCCCTGACCATTAAGTCCAGTCGCGGACGACTCTGGGGTTGCAACGCTCATCTTGCTTTACAGGCCGAGGGAGCTGACGTTTGTCCGCAGACAGCTTCTGGGTCATGTGGCCAGCATGACTAAGCCGCTTCTGGCGAACCAGAGCAGCACATGGAAACACTGTTTACCTTCCCGCCAGAGTGGTACCTATTTATCCACTTACACTTTGACATGCATTTGAACTGCTACGTGGCAGGAGCAGGGACTGAACAACGAGAGCTCACCCCATCAAGGGGATTTGAACTGCCGACCTTCTGATCAGCAAGCCCTAGGCATGGCTTCCCCCAAAGAATTATGGGAGCTGTAGCTTGTTAAGGGTGCTGATAGTTGTTAGGAGACCCCTGTTCCTCTTACAGAGCTGCAATTCCCAGAGTTCCCAGGGAAGAGGGATTGATTGTTAAACCATTCTGGGGTCTACAAACAGCACTAAAACGCTGAGGATTTTTCACGAGGATTAAAAAGAAAAGAAGAGAATCCTTCACAAATTGCTGTACAAATGTGGGGAACTGAACTTAAGAGTGGGAAACTAAGAAAAACCATAATTGTGGAATTCATCCATCTCTGTGCATGGTAAGAACATCAGAAGAGACTTCTGGATCAGGCCAATGACCCATGTAGTCCAGCATCCACTTATCGCAGTGGCCAACTAGATGCCTGTTGGAAACCTGCAAGCAGGATTTGAGCACAAGAGCCCTTTCCCCTCCTGCAGTTTCCACTAACTGGTATTCAGAAGCATACTGCGGCCTCCAAACTCTGGAGGCACAGCATAGCCATTGTGGCTAACAACCACTGTGCTCTTGTCTTATGCACAGAAGCACTCAGTTCCTAGTACACTGTCAGATTTGCTTATGGACAAGCAGCCAGCAGCAGAGAGGGGGACAGGGATGCTTGGAAGACTGACCTGGCATCAACAGCTGACATACTGGAGCATCTACCTGCCTTAGCATGACCCACTATGGCTGACACCTTGCTTGCTTCCAAACAGCGGCATTGCTGCAGCCACCCTCTCAAAAGTGAGCAGGTTTAACCGGCAGTGACTCTGTAACAGGCTCGGAGCCAAACTACTGCTCAGCTCCAATTGTCACCTGCTGGCTGCCATATTTTATCTCCTGCAGTGCCGTTGGAAGTAAAATATGGTTGGCCACCAGGCATCATTCGGAGACAGGCAGCTGCACAGCTATCAACCCATGAAAGCACAACAGCTGAAAGGGGGGGATATATCTAATTAACCATGGGTGGGGAGTCTGTTTCAGACCAAGGGCCACATTCTCTCCTGGATAACCTTCTGGGGGGCCACATGCCAGTGGCAGGAAGGTTCAGAGACACAAGTGGATGGAGCGACAACCTTAAATTCTACCTCTGTAATGTAGGCTAGTTTCTACACACACCCACAATATCCACAAGATCTTGTGGTGATCTCTCCTCCTCCTCACCTACTCTCCAGCAGCTGCTACAAGCTGCCCAAGGGAGGAGGAGGCCAGCAGCGGTGGCAATGGAGTGGCAACGCAATGCTCCCTCGCAGCCATCCCACCGCTGCCATCGTTGTCACTCAGGACAAGCGCTGGCTCATCCTCCTCCCTGAGCTTGGCGTTGTCGGTGCTGGTGGGGAAAAGGGAGACATTCTGGGGTCCAATGAGAAGCCAGGATGGCTTTCTTAATTATGGGACTGTCCCTGGAAAATTGTAGCACATGGAGGGGTATGGAGTCTGTATACCGCTGCTAAGGCAGGAGTCCCCTCTGCCTCCTCCCACCAGAAGTATCAAATCACATAATTGAAAGAAATAAAAAGGGAGGGGGGAGTAAGCAAGCACAGTAAAGGCCAGAAGACGGATAGAATTCACCAGCAGAATCATTCAGCATCCTGAGTTTTGGATGTTGTGCCCGTAGGAGAGACATTATTTTATCTCTCTCTTATCTCTCTTTTCTCCTGTTTCCCCTTCCCTGCAGACGTCCCTAGCTCATTCATTCTTTCCTTCTATATCAAGCAGTGCACAAATCCGCATCTACAGCAGCTCCAACTGTCAGGGGGGCTACTAATGTCACTAATCATCAGCAGGCGACTGGGCTATCTCCACAGCCCAGCAGGGGATGGGAAGAGATATGAGCAGGGGCTTTTCACTGGGCCGGATCCTCCCCTCTGGGGTGGACCAGCTCCAGGTAGGCAAGCAGCAATACTGTGGATAGCATGCCAGGCCTCTCTCTTTCTCTTTTTTCCCCTCCTCACCCATCTCTGCTTGGTTAAGAAAATAAAAGAGACATCAATTTCCAGAGCTCAGCGCCAAAATCCGGCCTTAACCTTTGAAAATATAATTTATTCAAGCCTTCTATTATTGCGGTGCGGGTATAGATAGAGAGTGGGGGGTGGATTATGAAGAGGTCACAGCTTGAGCAATAACAATAATAAAAAAAATAATAGGAAGGGCAGAGCAGTATCTCATGAAAACGCCATCCATCAGGGTGGTTTTCTCTAACCAAGGTGTTC